TGAGATCAATGACCATTTTGAGCCTATTTCAACTGCTACTGCTCCACTGGGCGTGAAAAACCAGAATGTGATCGATCTTAGCAGCATTTCAACTGATTTAGGAAGTGGGTTTCCCTTTTCAAGCTTTGACGAAGATTTGCAGGGCTATTTGTTTCAAGATGGTTGTTACCCAAAGAACCTTGAACAGATTATAGAGTTTCCAGATTATGGTGATCCAGGCATCTTCACTGAAGGTCCGACTCACCTTTATGATGCAATGAGGTTTGGCTATGAGTATTCCTATGACCCAACTGAGTATCCAGTGATAGATGAAGGCCTATTCATCGCATGATTATGCTATTTACATACCCTTGCATGCAGGGGGAAATGATATCTTTTCTAATAAGTGAGTTCCTTGACTTAATGGATTGAATATTACCTTCCCAAACTATTGGGATTTGGATTTTTATATGGGTATATAGAAGTAGCAACCGAGAACCTTTTCAGAACCAAATAAGCATTAAGTTGACTAAATAGGTGTTTAAATTGACGGGTCAACGAATCGAGTCAACTTTGTGGTCATTTTAACAGCATCTCCTCGGGAAAAATATAGAAAACTTAGTTTCTGACAAGACAAAATCAAGGCCACTGCAATACGTGAAAGAATGAAGAGTGTATTTCCACTGGGTCAGAGAAACAAGATTTGTGAACAAAAAGCATGGGTGAACTTGTGTACATTACCGTGTATAAAGCTCCCTAATTTTTCTGCTAACAGTTTTGGATACAAAAAACATTGCTGATCCATCGTTCTATATACCTTTCAATGCCCTCCAGTTTAAGATGTTCTTCGTGCTGCGGCGCTTTCCAGTAAAGCGACCACTCTACCCTCAAGTTTTAACCCTGAAAATGTGGATTAAGGAATCAATCTACCCCTCTGAAACTCTTGTCTGAAGATTAAAAATCCCAACAATTGTAAGGATCTTTGTTAGCGGGAGGGCAAAGGAACTGCAATATTCTCTCTTAATGTCAATGGCAGAAGAGCGAAAAGAAGTATCAATGAAATAATACTCACTTGGTCTTCTCCGCCGAGTTCTCGTCTGACTCCTCACCTTCAAGTGAGCCTAGTGTAGTGAGTTTGCCGAATGATTCCTTCGCATCTCCGAAGAAGTCTTTAACTTTATCGAGAACCGTCTTCAGCTGATCTTGTGTTGGAAGCTAAGATTGATTCAGAAATAAAACTGTGTAAGTAAACTAAATGATCTAGTCGAAAATCTCACCGATTGAAACAAGTTACAAAGGAAAAGATTACCACCACATGGTGTTCAAGGATTTGCCTTTTCAATCCTTATAAAATCTCAAGAACAAAAGAAGAGAACAAATAATCCGTTCTTACCTCAATTACATCTGTGGTAGACAGTGCGGACCTCACATTGCCATTTTGCTGCATGAAAGTATATAATTAACATTACGACAACAAATTGTTGTTCATCCATTCCGAAGTACAATATAAAATATTGTGCTCATGAATCATAAAGAAAGGTTTGGAAACATTACAACAATCTTGTAGCCATATCTGAATTCTGTTGCTGACCGCAACACGCGGAACTGTTTAAATGCTGTCTTCTGTATCTCCTTTTCATCCTGTTCATTGGTAGATCGAGTGTTAGTATCTTAAAAGAGTGTTTAGAATGAATTGTCGTTCAAGGCTTGAGAATTGAGTAATTTTGCAAAAACAAAGTGACAAGAAAGCGTAGAATTGTCTGTTTTTCTCAATGGACAGAAATTGTGGCAATCAATTCCTATATGAACAATCAACGTTAAGTCAGATTTTCAGACAAATTCTAAATCCTATGTGATTGCAACTTTCTCCAAACCGACGAGAGCTCTCAAACATTCAGCAGTCTCGCATGTGCTGATAAGAACATCTCTTTTAAAACCACTCACTTGTCAAAGTACGAGCTTTAACGTTCCTTTTATCACCAATACAAAGTTTTAACTAGAATAACATCATTATATTCACCTTTGAAATTAAAAGGTTTAACTTTAATTCATTTTATTTGAACGGGCACAGGCGGCTTAATACAAGACGTAAAGAACAGGATAATGGAGCAAAATATCGATGAAAATTAAAGCTTACACGGTATATAACAGCAGCAAGATTCCTAGCCAGAGTGTCTTTGTAGATATATTTCCCAAGAAAATTATCTTTTGCTGCAACCATGATTTTGGCGGTTGTGCCACCATTTATAAGACTCAAGGGGTACCATAGATAAACCTGCTTAATCAACGAAAAAGGGGACGATGTTACGGATGATATTCCCAATAATTGTGTGCAATATATTGAACTTCACGAACCTCACCCTTTTCAGATTTTGAGTTAATAATGAGCTACTTCTCTTGATGCCATATTTCAAGATAGTTTAGAATGTAATCTATTCAATGAGTGGCCAAGAACACAGTATACAGTTTATATATAATTGAGAGCGACTCCAAATCTCACGCCATTCTCGGCACCAATTCCAGAGAGGCAAAATAAATATGAATCAATAGAAACAACCGGAGCTGAAAAGTAAAAAGGATAGAGAACAAACATTGGGCATACGGATGAAGATAACGAATTTAGGGTTTCCATCGTCTTCAATCTTGGGTAGCGGGGGAGGCGCAGCCCTTTGGAACCGACGAGCTTGCATCCCCCGTTTGCCTTTCGCTTGGACCACAAGAGCGTGGCGATTCCTCCGCTCAGGCTTCTGCATCGTCCTCGCGGAGAAGAGCGAGTGGCGGAGCAGCGCATCTTGGTGTAGCTTGGAAGTGGAAAGGGGGAGTCGAACCAGAGCGTTGAGGGACATGGCAACCTCCATTTGTGTGATCGGATTTGGCCAGAGCGGGAGGAGTTGAAGTTAGAGGATGGTTCTTCTCCTCCGATCTTATCCACCAGTATGGCTGTGGGGCCACCGATCTCCACCCACACGCCTGGCACAATCTCACGCACGTAAACACTTGCAATTTACTCCTCTAATTTCTCAACCATTATACTATTTTTGAAAATAAAATTGGGGTTGGTGGAAATTACTATTTTGATTTGGATGTGTATTAAATCTTATAGAAAAGAAAATGTAAGCGATAATGATTCGGGAGGGGTTAGATAGAACAAGATGTTATAAATGAAGGGCAACCGTTTATTTGAATGAATCAAATTTGGTGAGGTTATGCATTAATAAACTTAGATGTAAATACAAATAGGCATTAATTGAGGGAGGTGTCAGAAATGCGGAATATGAGGGAGGATGGCATAATTCGCATTAACAGCTCCGTCAACATGCATGCATTTGCAACACACACGCATATATATATATGTTATGTTATGTTATCCTCTCTAGATAAAATTCAATCGCTTTCAGTTGCATCAAAAAAAATAAATAAAGGACACCATGAAGCTTGAAATTGACATCATCTCAGAGGATTTAATCAAACCTGCTACTCCCACGCCTCCCCACCTCCGCCATTACCCCCTTTCCTTCATCGACCAAATCACCGTTCACATTTATGCTCCCGCCCTCTACTTCTACCGACCCACCCACGCCGGAGATCCCGATTTCGCCATCCACTTCCGGAACCGCCTCCGGAGCACTCTCTCCCTCGTCCTCTCCCACTACCCTCCACTCGCCGGCCGCCCCAACTACGACTCCGCCTTTGTGGACTGCAATGACACGGGGGCCTTATTTCGGGAAGCGCGAGTGAATACAAAACTCGCTGACGTGGTGGAATATGCCCAACCGGACGATCTGAACCGCCTGTTCCCGGTCGAGTTGGACCAGTTCAACGAAGAGCTGATGGCGGTTCAGTTCACGGAGTTCGCGTGCGGTGGGGTGGCGGTGGCGTCGTGCATCTCGCATAAGATTGCGGATGCGATGACGCTGTTTTCGCTGAATAATAACTGGGCGGCGATGGCGCGTGGAGTGAAGGGGGTTTTCAAACCGCACATGGAAGGGGCTAAGTTGTTCCCGGCGAAAACGACGAGGTATGATACGGCGAAGACGATTCTGAGAAACAGAGTGGCGAGGAGGTTCGTGTTTGAGGGTTCGAAAGTGGAGGCGATTCGCGAGAAATACGGAGAGAATGGCGCAGCGCACCGACCTTCACGGGTCGAGTCATTGACGGCTTTTCTGTACGGACGGTTTCTTGCGGCTCTTAAAGAGGGCTCTTCTTCTGAAGTTCCGAGCGACAGGGCATGTCTAGTGAACTACACAGTGAATCTGCGGCCAAAAATGGAGCCGCCACTTCCGGGCGACGCCTTTGGGAACTACTATTTCAACGCCATGATCTTCCCGTCCCCGGACATTCTGAACGACCCGTACTGCCACGGTCTAGTGAACCGGCTGAGAGAAGAAACCAACAAGCTGAACGCCCAGACAGTGAAGTACATTCTGAATGAAGACCAGAGGCTGATGGAGAGCGTGGAGGAGATTGCTTCTAAGTTCGTGAAGGGAGAGATGATTTCGTGTGCGTTCACTAGCATCTGCCGGTTTCCCCTTTATGACGTGGATTTCGGGTGGGGCCGGCCTGTGTGGGTGACTTTTCCGGCGCTGTGGTTCAAGAATCTGGTGACGTTGTTGGATTCCAAAGAGGCCGGCGGCATTGATGCGATTGTTCACCTTGAGGAACCCCACATGAAAAGGCTTGAAGCTGATCAACTCTTCCTTGAGTATGCTACTCCAACTCCTACTGCCCCGGCCACCCCATAAATCAACTCTCGCTCTCTCTCTCTCTCTCTCTCTCTATCTCTCTAAGTGTAACACAGTCGTATGTTACTCCCTCACTTGCTCGACGTCTATAAACAGAGTAAGAGATCAAAACCAGAAAAAAGATATCCGACATCCCCAAATGGGAAGAAATAATCAACCATCATATCTCACCAAAAAAATAATTTTCTTTTTTGCAAATTTGCAATAAACTTTGTTTTAAAAGGTTTATTTTATTAGACTTCTAGAAAGCAGAAAATTAAAACAAAAATTGAAATGATATTTTTTTTCCCCAAACTGGAAATTCAATAATTTGCATAATTTGCACAATTTGCAGTTGGGTTAAGAGAAGCATAAGCAAGAAGCTCCTCATTGTGCTGAAAGCCACCCATTTCCTTGTCATCCAAGCAAACCAAAGCTTCAATGCCGCCGCCATTTTTGTCGTCCATCATCATCACCGTGTTCTTCATCCTGAGCGCCGCCATTGTCACCCAAGCCGCCCCTCCCCACCCAAAATCCACTCCATAAACGGGGAACTTGCAGCCACTGCTGCATCTATAAACCAATTGGCTTTTTCCATTCTTGCTCAGAATTTCTCTGACTTCATTTAATCGCTTTTTTATCAATTCAACCCACTCCTCTGTTCGGTACTTTTTGGCGTATTTGTCGCAAAACTCACCCATTTCTTTCCTCATTACACCCACCACCTCGTGTACCTCTACTTCTCTTTCCCCGGCGGCGGCGGCGGCCACCGGGAAGAATGAGACTATATTTCCCATTGTACTCTCCGGCAGCGGCGGCACCATCCTTGTGCGTAAATTCATTGTTTGTAACAGTAATGTGGGGTGGTTGTTGGGATTTGGATTTGAATCTCGCAATGCTGAAATAATGGCTATGTAAATCAACGCCGTCACAACTTCGACTCGGGTTGGATTTTTAACTTTGTCGGAGATGCTGCGTTTCAGGGCTTCGATCTTTGAAGCTTCGAACACAAACCTGATGAGAATATGATGAACAAATAGAAAAGTTGTTAAAAGGTCAAAAGTCAAAGAGAATTTAACTGAATGTGTACCGTTTGCAGGTGAAGTTTTTTCCTTCTTCAATGGCGGCGCCGGACATGGGTGGCAGGTCGCCGAGAGGGAACAAATCGGCGGAGTGAAAAAGTGGGTTCACAGTGTGTTGAGCAGAGGTGGAGGTATCCCGAGTGAGGAAGCCCCAATCTGTGACGAACTTCACCAGCGTGGCAAGATCCCCAAGCTTATGGGACAGAAGGACGGCGACGGCGAATCCTCCACACTGAAAGTAGGTAACTTGAATGGCCAACAACGGACCCATTTTGGAGTGTTTCCATTGCAGCCCATCCACGAATAGCATCTCCACTATCTCACTTTTAGGGCCTTCCAAGATCTCCGCCAGTGTCACGACACCTTCCAGTCTGGCTTCCAAAAACGTGACCCCCTCATCGTTGCAGTCCACCGTCAGTTTGTCTTTGATCCTGCCCGCGAAAGGGTAGTACCTGCCAGTTCAAACATTAGTTTTTCATATTAAGATGAAGGGTATTATTGAAATTTGATTGATGGTGGTCCAATCAGCAGTAGCATAGAAAGAGTATAATTAGCAAAGCAATGAGAAATTTGAGGATAGAATTACCGAGACAGAGTGGCGGAAAGAGAGCGTTGAAGGAAGTGGGATGTGCAGGGGGGGTTGGGGGAAGCAGCGTGGGGGCGGCGGAAGAAGAAGACGAGAGGAACATACATGTGGGGGGCGAGCTGATCAAAGAGGGAGAGGGCATGAGTTCTGAGATGAGGGGGCGTTGGGGAAGAAGGCTTAATGCTCTGCCTTGAAACAATTTGAGGCTGCATGGTTGAATAGATTAGATTGTGTTGGGTGCTGATTGATGCATCCATCCATGCTCAGTTTCTTCACTTTATAATGCCCATTGGGTGAAGAAAAAGGAAAGACTTTTTTGTTTTTGGTTTTTTCAAACCATCAAATCAATCAATCAATCAATCAAATCAATCAATCAATCTTGGGGGAGTGGGGACCAAAGCTTTGTTCACCAAAATGGTGCCAATACTAACTAGCCCCTCCAGCCGCCTATAACTCTACCTTCATTAGTTTTTTCATTCAAAACGTTAGCTTATATAGTTTATTCATACCCTACATATATATTTATATTTTGTTTTAGAAGTATCAATTCTCGACCTCCTTCCCACCTCTATCATGAATAATATGATATTGTCTACTTTGAATGGGTAGACAACATCCACACGAACACTAGCACACATGGTGACAACAAGCAACTCTAACACTATCAAACTTCATGGATCATCATCAAAGGATAAATGTGAGGATATGGGATAAATTTTGTGAATTCAAATGTTCACCAGGAAATGAAATCATTGGGCAATTTGGGATGCTTGCATATATGCAAAGATCCTACTTTGAAGTAAATCTCAATACGTTTTTTTTTTTTTTTGCAGTTTTTGAACGTTGTTTGAAGTTGTTGGATGTTTAGACATTTTATTGAAGTTGAAAATGTGAAGCGGAGCTCTCTGTTCTGTTGCTAACGTCAAGGACAAATCTAGAATGTTGTACAGCACCCAAAGAATGGCGGGTGCTTCGACAAACAGCAGAAGCTGCCCACTGCCATCACTTGAAGAAGCGTCGGCGATCTCACTGGCCGAAGCATCAGGTATGTTCATAAACCCTGATGCAGTCACCCCCCTAATCCCAACCCAATTCTGTTGAGATGGTTGTATGTTGAACAGAACCCATGCTACAGCTGGAATAAGTGGCAGCAAAAGGGCTAAACCAGGGTTGAAGTTGACTTGCTTGTTTCTGTTGAGCCAAGCTGTTGATGGCGGTTGGCAGGTACGGGCAAAAATGTTTGAAAGACAGAGGTGAAGCCAAGTCGTGGAAGTTCCAACCAATAAAATCGTGGTTATCCATGGATGGGAGTGTGTGTGAGTCATGGATCTCATATTTCCTACCCCACTTGTAAAAATCTAAACTTTGTTACAGTAAGACCCAACTTTTGCGAACCCCACTTCAAAATCTTCAGCTTTCATGCTCCAATCGTCCAATCGAGCTCTTAAATTCACTGTTTTTCTGCTTGGAGTTTGACCCATAAACCCCCTTCCCTTCCTTTTCAATTTGAGGGGTTCTTGCCAGCCTCATTTCTTCTTGTTTGCTTCATAAAAATGGCTTCCTTATCTCCTTGTCGCCCAAATTTTATGTTCTCTTCATTTCCGAACCGTGTTCCGACCTCAAATCCTCTATTTCATGCGGTCCAATTCCGAGGTTTATCCCACCACAAGCCCTCCCTTCGCGGTTCCCTTGCCGTTGCGAGATTCGGGTTTAAACCCGAGTTCTTGCCTGACCCAGATAACGCCGAGGGCTTTGTGAGGGAGTTGTTCGGTAAAGCTGAGCGCGTTCTGTATACGATAGCCGACGCCGCCGTGTCTGCTTCGCCGGAAGATATGACCACCGCCAAGCAAACTGAGGATTGGTTTACGGGGATTACCAATTACATGGAGAGCGTCCTTAAAGTACGTTATCTTTAGCCATTTATGAAGGAGAAAGCTGAGAAAAAAAGGAGTAACTTTAGGGTTGGATTCACACCAAGTCCATGAAATTCTAGAATTGAAGTGTGTTTAATCTAGTCGGCTTTATGTTGCAGATTCTTGAGAATGGACTTTCTACTCTGCATGTTCCTTATGCCTATGGTTTTGCCATTATACTCCTTACAGTTCTTGTTAAGGCTGCCACATTTCCTTTGACGAAGAAGCAGGTTTTTAGCTGAGCTAACACTTAACTTTAGGCGATTTTCGTTTAGTGTGTGTGTGTGTATATATATATATATGAAGTTCTTGACTTTGTTGAACTCAGGTAGAATCTGCAATGGCAATGCGTTCGTTGCAACCGCAAGTAAAGGCCGTTCAGCAACGTTATGCCGGGGATCAGGTTAAAAGCTTTTCCCTAACATGAAGGATTGATCTCTGAAATGTAGTGAATGAAACTAAATTTAGCATAATAGTTGGTGATCTAATTGTGATGATCATGAGAGTGGTAGCCATATTGAATTTGATCAAACTGGTCTGCAGGAGAGGATTCAAATTGAAACTGCTCGACTCTACAAATTAGCTGGAATAAACCCGTTTGCAGGTACTCAAATTGCGTCGTTTTTAGACGCCATAGTTACTCTAATAACCATAGTAGTAGTTATAGACTGCCTCCTTCTCCATGTATGCTAGCTTCTGTGTTGGTTTGTTCTGCTTCACTTGTTATACAATTATGATTTTCTCCCTATGGACAATCCTTGAATCGATCATTTGTTTGTGTAAGTTTAGTGAACAGCCCAAGCCCACGCCCACTGCTAGTGCATCCTCTCAAGGTTTTTAAAACGCATATACCAGTGAGAGGTTTCCACACCCTTATCAAGAATGTTTTGTTCCTCTCTCCAATCGATGTGGATCTCTTTAATCGATTTGGGATCTCACAATCCACCCCCCTTCGGGGCCTAGCGTCCTCGATGTACATCTGGCTCTAATATCATTTGTAACCGCCTAAGCCTACCGCTAGCAGATATTGTCCTCTTTGGGCTTTCCCTTTCGGGTTTCCCCTCAAGATTTTTAAAATACATGTGCTAGGAAGAGGTTTCCACACTCTTATAAAGAATGTTTCGTTCCTCTCACCAACCGATGTGGGATCTCACAATATTTGTGCATTTGTGAAACAAGAACTCAAGGACTCGATAGATCGAATATTTGAACTCCTCATATTTGCATATGTTAAACTGTCATTTGCTTGGTATATCACATGTCAATTTTGTTCTGGATTTCAGGATGCCTGCCTACGTTGGCTACAATCCCCGTATGGATTGGACTATACAGAGCTCTTTCAAATGTGGCCAATGAGGTGCTTTATTATTGCCTTTGAATTTGTTTGGAGACTGATTTCTCTCACTAACACATATCCCTAATACAATTTGACTGCCCAAACTTAAAGGGTCTCCTCACAGAAGGTTTTTTCTGGATACCATCTCTGGCTGGTCCAACTACGATCGTTTCTCGACAAAGTGGGAGTGGTATCTCTTGGCTCTTCCCATTTGTTGTAAGTGCTTTGTCTTTGATACTATGAGTCCATGGGCTACATTACTTTGCACCCATTTGACATGGTTATGCTTGCTTTGACTGGTGAGCAGGATGGTCATCCACCACTTGGGTGGTCAGATACCTTGGCATATCTTGTCTTGCCTGTGTTGCTGGTTGTGTCGCAGTACATCTCGGTTCAGATTATGCAATCGACGCAGGTCTGTTGTTATTCGACGTTTATAAGAGTGCTACTGCCTATCTAGGTAGCTTGGCCTTTTTCGTGAAGCGTTATACCGACATTCATTTATCTTAATTCTCAAATCATGATATCCAGAATAATGATCCAAACATGAAGAGTTCTCAAGCCATAACGCAGTTCCTACCGTTAATGATCGGATATTTTGCACTTTCTGTTCCTTCTGGTCTAAGTCTTTATTGGTAAGCAATTTTCTTTTAATCAGAACCAGCTCCTGTTGCAAGACGAAATCGATCGATTTGTCATTTTCTGGTTTGTTTAGTTGTAATACCATAATCTCGAGAATTTTGGCATTTCTTATATCTGCCACGTGTTACTCAGGCTTACCAATAACATCTTGAGCACAGCTCAGCAAGCATGGCTTCAAAAGTCAGGTGGTGTAAAAACCCCGGACAAACGGTTCATCGATGAAAGCATCAAACAAGAACAAGCCCAAGTCCAGATCCAATCGTCCGAGTTAAAGTCAGTTTCGATGAGCACAGTAGCCAGAGAATCAGAGAAGCCAACAGCAGAAGGGGTAAAACCTGGTGAAAGGTAGGAGTCATTTCTTACCGAAAACACGGTTCGGGTTTTGTTATAGTTGTGGTGTTTGATGTGTTGATAATTTTCAGATTTAAACAGATAAAGGAGCAAGAGGCTAGGATAAGACAGCAAAGAGAAGAAGAAAAGAGGAAAGCTGAAGAGGCAGCCAAGCTTGAATCTCAGACAATAAATGACAGTGACAAGAGCGCAGCTGCTAGATTTGTTGTGAATGGCAGTCTTTCTAGACAGGATGTGGAGGAAGTTCAAAACTCCATGTCCACATCTACTATGCTGCATAGAACCGATGTGGACGACAAGGTTAGCGATACAAGCGAGCATTTGCCAAGTGTAACTCAAGAAGAGGTAAATCCTTGTTAGTTGTATGACTCGTCGCACTTTTCTCGTAATTAATCATTTGTACAGGTTCTCGTTAGAAATTCACAGTTAAATGCCAAACATTTGCATATTCAGAACGTAGTCGAGACGTACACCGGTGTGGGCAAGGATGCCAAACTAAATGGAGAAGATCAAGGAGAGTAACTCTTGATGGCAGATTGAGATGATGTTTTTGATATACAAGCCAGCAGGCAGCGAGTACTCTGGATAATAGAGCAGGAAAACCAATTGTTTTACGAAGTTCGATACCGTGGAGCGTCGGATCGGAGGTATTACGAATACTGCTGAAGCTTAAATTCTTTTTGCTCATGGTCACTTCAGTTGGTGAGATTACTCATCCTTAATAGATTGTGGAATAACATGAATGTAATTTGTGATGATGAGTTGTATGTGAGATCCCACGTCCGTTGGAGGGGAACGAAACATTATCAAAACTTTGACTTTTTAAAAGTCTAAAGGATTAAAAAATCAATTATTATTTCATTTTAAAATTTTATAGAAGAAAAGTTGGAATTCTTGAATTGATTTAAAATTTGTATTTTCCAACTTATAGGGTAGAGGTACAATCAGCACATGCAATTCACCAAGATTCTTATTCCCGGACTTTTCTTATTAGACAAATTGCTCCCTTTTTAAGTACATGATGTTCCAAAAGTTTTATATAAAGTTGTCTAACTCACGAATATGATTGTGAGATCCTACCTCGGTTAGAGAGGAAAATGAAACAT